TGCTAAAATTGGTTAAGAAAATGTTGCCATGTCAAACTACAAACATTATTAATCATAAATAAACAAGTTTCAACCATAAAAGGTGATCAGGTTTTGTACCTTGTCCACTTTTGTGTTAGGATCGGCTGATGACTGACTTGGCCGAGATGGCTGCCATCTTGTTTTTGCATGGATTAGTGTATTGTGCTTTTACTACCATTAGATGACACAAAAAAGTGTCCATGTACGAGGACAACAGGTCTAAGTTAAGCAAAATGAAGTACAAGGTGCAGGGAACCAAAAATGCGATGTCCTCATATGAGGACACGGGTCTCAGAAAGATATGCCGCTGACCAAAACTAACAATTGTCTTGTTTTCATAACAATCTGAAGCCAAAATCTTGATTAAAGAAATTAAGTCTGACAGTGACAGAGGTGTTTCATTTAATGAAATGATCCCAGGGTTTAAAGTCTGCTGAGTTTACAAAATAAAAGTTGGATTGAGTTTGTAGTTGATCACCAGTCATTCATTTCAAACCAAACAAGTAGTAATTCATAATCTGAGACTTTATTCTCTATGTGTTCAATTACCTTGAGACAAATGTCATATTTGTGCATGCTCAGCTGATTGAAGACTCTAGTTTTAATTTGAATTAATTAATTTGAGTTGCAGCAATAAGACAGTTATCAATATCCTTCCAGGCTCCTTTCTATGAATCTTCTGTTCAGCCTACATATCAGTTCCTCTGTATTAACCGTGATAAAATGTAGGACCTGTATCATAAAGATTTATCTGCTCAACGTCTCGCAACTCTGATTGGTCCTGAACATAGTCCCCTCGGTGACGTCAATACTGCGCGACGCTCTTCGGTTTGTGTATCGGCTGCTGAGCTAACAGCTGCACCAATTGTGTTTTGGTTTTGTTTTGCCTCCCATGTGCAGCTATCATGAGGTAAGAAACACAACAGCTTCTGCTTTCTCGTCGTGTCTGCTCAGTTGTCGCCGGCGGCTCAGGCGGCAGCTTCACCTCAGACTGTGGTAGCCTGTTAGCTAGCAGCTAGCTCCAATGCAAGATCAGCACCTAATGTATGCGGAATGCGCAACCATTGCGGATGTGGTGCAGAAAAAAATGCGCATCGATGCGACAGAATATAGAAGTCAAGCTGTGTGATAGAAACAGACACAGCTACTTTATAATGCTTCACGGTTGTAAGCAGTGTTGTGTTTTGTTGTTGTATTTCAGCTCTGGAGGCGATTCTCTGCCTTGATGGTGCATCTCACTGTGTAACAGCTGGACGTGTAGATGTAGCTCTTAGCCTGCTCCAGGTGTGTTTACACCGTGTGTATATGTTCTCAGTAACATATCAGTGTGAATAAAGATGACAGAAATGGATTTAAGTGGCTGTAGCTAGCCATACATGTCTCTAATTGTGAGGCTCTAATCAGACATTATGATTGTATCTCTTAATAAGCTGCAACAATGACTTGATTAATTTTAATCATACTGTTAAAAACAGTATTTAAGGAAACTTTAGCTCTATACTTCCTAAGAAATCAGTGTGGCAGCTGTAGCCAAAGCAGGTTCATAATCATCTGATACAGTATACTGAAAAGTTGCAATGCCTGTAGCAGTAGGTTCAGCTACACCTTGAACTTGTGTTAATGGGGCAGCAGCTGCCAGTATCAGAATTGGCCCGCCAGTCAGTTCTGCTGTAAATCAGATCTGACCCATGACTGAGTACTACGAGGAGGGGGGGCTGCTGTACGAGCAATCACCTCCCATGCACATCAAAGTGGAGTCTCCGGAGGGACCCTTTGGAGGGGGAGCCTCAGAAAACGGCTTCCCCAGGGAGGATGAGGACTCGGAGGGTAGCTGTGACCAGAGCAGCGGGCTACCAGGGGGACTCCCCTTCAACGTGGTAGTGGTGCATCCGAACATCATGGCACCCGGCATGTCCTCAGACGACCTCCTGTCCATTGAACAAAGTAAGGCTGAATGAGATTAAGATCATTATGAGATATTGGATTGTGTATTTTCTTGTTCAGTTGTACATTTCTGCTCCGAATGGTAGCAGCACACACAGAATTATTTCATTAATGATTTTATCAGCAGCGTGGAAAAGCAGAGCCAGGATATGCACCAATATATATCATATTTATGCCAACAGCTACACTATTTTTTTTTTCCTAAGAGAACACTTAATCCTCCAATATAATCACAAGACTAACCTAAATTAAAATAACTTTTGCTCTTAATGCTCCATGCCTCTCCAAAAGTAGTAATAGTTGAATATGTTGTGGCTTAGCAGAGTGGCAACAAGACACATTTCTCCTCCTCACACATTATATTTAGCTTCACTTGATATTTTTCCTTTCCCTTTTTGTTCTTTCACCTCTCTCTCTACAGACAGAGCTATGTCAGCTGCACTGGCTGCTGGCGGTGCAGGAAAAAGAAAGAGTCGTTTCAGTGGAGCAGAGCTGGAGGTGTTAGTGTCAGAAGTCACTCGGTGTGAAGGAGAACTCTTTGGTCCTGCGGGGAGGCTGCGGCGGCGGGAGAGAGAGCGCATCTGGGCAGGAATCCTAGAGAGAGTCAATGCCGTGTCCAGGGTCCCACGCACCCTCCGAGAGGTGAAGAAGCGCTGGGATGACCTGAAGAGACGCAACGGGGGCAGGCTAGCGGACGCTCGCCATCGCAGCTGTTACCTGCCATCCAGCAGGGGAGCCTCGATGCTTGGCCGTCCATCCCAGACTAGCCCCAGGCTCCAACAAGCCAGGCAGAAGCAAAGCAACAGACCAAAGCCCAGTTTTCCATGTTTCCCTGACTCTGATACAGGTAAAAAAAATATTTGTCCAATTGGCTATTTCTTTATAGATTCTATAGATGTAGCTTATATCTATTTGTGGCTGCTTACATCTTTTTTTTTGCAGGTGTAGGAGTGGAAGGATCAGAGAGAGATGGTCTGGAAAAAGATGAGGACAATCCTGAGCGTGAGAGAGAGATGGGAGAATCTGAGTGCGAGCCAGTAGAAAACAGCATGGAAGACAAATTGGGTTTAGGACTTGGTCTTGGCATAGGACCACCCCCTCCATCAGAGCGATGGCTGCCTCCTTCCCCACTCTACAGTGCACCTTTCCTCAATGGCAGCCCTCAGCCCAGTAGTCCTCAGCCTTCACTTGGAGCGCAGCAGGGTCCTCTTGAAGCCCCTCCGCGCAGCTCCTGGCTTGAAGATGAGCTACGAGGGCTAGGGGAAGCAGCAATTCAACTGGGAAATCGGGTAGAAAAGAGCCTGCGGGAGTTTGGGGAAGGTTTCAGGCAGGACATGAGAACACTTGTCGCTTCACAAGAGGCGTTAGCAGTCAGTCTACAACAAAACAATGTCCTCTTACAAAGGCTGTTAGGAGTGCTTGAAGCCCAGCAACAACCTCAGCCACAGCAACACCGTGTACAACAAGCACACCAGTCACAAACATCTCAACAGCACTTACAGCCACAGCCAGCTCAGCAGCAGCAGCAGCAGCAGCAGCAGCTACAAAACACAGAACCAGTGCAGCAGCCGCAACAACAGCGGATTGAAGCGCCACTGCAAACACACCTACAGCAGCAGCAGCAGCAGCAGCAGCCACATGTAGTACAGCCACAGTCACAGCAGCACCAAACACAAATACAGCAGCAGCCACAAGTCACCCAGCATTCGAATAATCAATCAGCTGTGGCGGTGGCTCCTGCACCATCGTCCCCGGACGTACATGGCACTTTTCCCTCTGATCCACCCCCAAACACAAACGGCAGTGTGCAGAGGCCACGGCGAGGAAGGGCTGTCGATCACAGGCGCAGGAGACGGCGCTGAGGAGAAAGCACTTAGAAGCTCAAAGTGCACATCATGCATATTTGGTGTTTCAAAACGTGACATGAAATTATGCTTTTTTTCTATTGGCAGTGTTTCTGTAAAAATAATGTTACTTGGAGTTTTACATCGCACTTGAAATCAGAAAATCATCTCGCACTTAAGTTTGTCTTCAGAGAGGACTGAAGCAGATAAGAAAATGAGATAATCAGGTGGCCTTAACATTAGCTTGGTTCCTCAGACATACGCTTAAAGACTTCCTGGAAAAACAGTTGCTCTATGGAGTGACAGCTCCACTCATGAGACTTTCAATACCTGGACAAAAACATACTGTAGGTGCTGATGTTTAATATGCATGTCACTGTACATGCTTTGCAGCCGAGCTGTGAAGCTCATGATGCTCTTACTAGTTCAGTACTGTCTAAATTCTCCTGATACACTAACCACATTGTCATAAAGTACTTGTAATCTGCAGTTGTTACCATATATTGTAGTTATACAGCTATTGTAATTTCCTGCTAATGTATGCTTGTGCTTTTTAACAGTTTCATGGAGAAGTATGACTTTTCCAGCTTTGGTCGGACAATAAAGTTAGACTGTGTTCTGTTCAGTGAGTTTTGAGACAACAGTGTTACAGATTTTGATGAAAAACAAAAATACCTTCCGGCATAAACATCACAGTAGGCTTCAAACTTTAATTCATATGTTTCTGGTGGAATTAAAAAGCATACATAAGTATGTAGGGGCTATTTATTCTAATCTGCATGCAGTATGATGGATGTGTTTGTAGATAGTTGCAAAGAAACAGCATATGGCCATCATCTACGTAGTTTTGCACAATCTATATTTTGTAGATAGCGAAATGTTCCGATGAAATGTAACTAAACTTTAATAAAAGTCAGACATGGACTGCAAATAAATCCAGCTGATCACTTGTGGATTTGTCACATAGCGTGTAAAAAGTAGCTCTGATGGTTATGAAGTTTACTCAGGTTGTAAAGAGATTGTTTGGTGTGTAGAACAACAAAGTCTCAGCAGTGGCAGAAAAGGGAATTTATAATTTAAGACTTGGAATTATATTCTCTTAAATGATGAATCACAGCTGGTTGTTGGTGATAGGTGTTTTATTTTGAAAGCGCCGACCGGAAATGTCATTCCTTGTTCAGGCTGGCTAGCATGATCCTAGTGTGTTCTGGACAAGGGGGTGCATGGGTGAAACATGGCCGCCGTAGACCCATCGGAGTCTCCAAAACGACAGAAATCCCCTGCGGAGGAGGTGGAAACATCTGGGGAGAAAGGCGAGGCGGTGGAGTCGGGATGCAGCTCAAATCAGAAGGATGAAACGACAGATAATAAAACCGCGGCGAGCCCCGACGATGAGCGGAGAGCCAGTGTTGGTAACGACGGCGGTGGTATTGCCAGCCATTCTGAGGTTAGTGTAGAGTCCGGTGCTGGAGCCGAAAAAACGACATGTAATTCAACGGAGGACCTAACATCGGCTGAAAAAATGGCCGAGGCTCCTGCTGGCGACCAGCGCTCCTTCGACTGGTCCGAAACCGAAGACGACGATGAAGAGGCGAAAACACACAGGGTGGAAAATGATAAGTGTGGTATGCTAACGTTGTTAATGTATTTTACAGTTAGCTTTAGCCCCCAGGCTAACCTGGGCTATTGCTCTCACTACCGGCTAAATGCACACTACAAACTCTGCTAATGTAATCACCATAACAAAATCAGCTAGCATCCTGCACTGTGGGTTGAGATTTGCACTTGAGATGGATGGCTGTGATAGTTGGGGATTGTTTGTTAGGTAAACAACACATAGGTTGTTTACTGGTTGTTTCTGTTTGCTAAGTTATTATTATGGTGTGCTTTTCTCTTGCAGACCCCAGTAATGTTACAGAGAGTACAGGAGGGGTGCAGCAGGATGCAGATGTTGATGATGACAGTACAGATGATGCAGATGAGATTCAAGAGGAGTTGACCTCATATCCTGATGAGAGGAGCACAGAGAAGAAGCCGGCTGAGGAGCCGGTGGGAGAGGTGGACGGGATAGAGGAGGTGGTTGAAGGAGATGAAGAGGCAGACCGAGCAGAGGACGCCAAGCCCAAAAAGTGCCGCTTGGTGTGCAAGGAGTGTGGGAAGAGGTTCACCCGCCGCGAGACGTTCAACCTTCACCGCCACTTCCACGCACACGAGGACGAGCTCACGCCCCTCACCTGTAAAGAATGCGGCCTTACCTTCCAGCACCGCAGCAGCCTCATTAAACACAGAAACGAACATAAAGAAAAAGAGGAACAGCTCGCTGCGTCGAAGCAGGAGGGATGTTTTGAGTGTGCAGAATGTGAGAGGATCTTCTCCACAGTGGATAAGCTGAGGGACCACAACTGCTGCAACACAGTAGAAAAGCCTTACCACTGCCCCCTGTGCCGCCAAGAGTTCCAGTTCAAGGTGTCCATCACTAAGCACATGATGATCCACTCCCATGAGAGCAGCATGGTGCAACGCTACCAGCAGCGGTGTCACAGCGCCCTGAAACCCTACGAATGCCCCGAGTGCGGCTTGGTTTTCAAACACTACTCCGTCATGGAAGACCACCGTCGCAAGCACACAGACAACACACGCTCCCACCTGTGCAACATCTGCGGTAAGACCTTCAAGTACAGCAGCCTCCTCCATCAGCATCAGTATCTGCACACAGGCCAGAAGCCCTTCCGCTGCCCTGAGTGTGGCAAAAAATTTGCCTTTGCCCAGAACATGAAGGCACACTGCCGCCAGCATAGACTGCGTGAAACCTCAGCTGAGCAGCCCAGCAGCAAGCAGGCCCCTGGGTCTGCACAGGAGGCTGTTAGAGGGGCGGGGAAAGAGAACACACACCAGAGTGAGGAACCTAAGCGCTCATTCAACTGCCCCCTTTGTCCTCAGACCTACGGGGCACCGGCTAACCTGAGAGCCCACATGCTTATTCACGAAGCCGAGTATGAGATGCAGGAGAGGAACCCCAGACCCCCGAAAGAGATTAGCAAGACCTGGGAGAAAGGACACTCCTGTCCCCACTGCCCATGTGTTTATCGTGATGAAAACAGTTTAAATATGCACCTGTCAAGTGTCCACAAATCTGTAGCACAATACTCAGAAACGGTGGCACCACCACCTAAAAATAAATTCACTCCATTAAGCAGTGATAATGTGCAGGGGAAATGGAAAAGCGATGGCGTAAGCGTTAAGTCGTACAAGTGTTCAGAGTGTGGGAAAACCTTCCGCCACCGCTCAGTGTTAGAGCTGCATATGCGCATACATTCCAAGGACAAGCCTTACCAGTGCAAAGTGTGCGGCAAAGGCTTTAGATTCGGTAGCTACTTACAGCAGCATCTCATCATCCATACAGGCAAAAAGCCATACAAATGTCCTGACTGCGGGAAGGACTTTGCCTTCCTGCAAAACATGAGAACACATCAAAAGCTGCATCAGGAAAAGCCCTTCCGCTGCACCAACTGTCGCAAAGGTTACAGCGACGAAATCCAACTGCAGCACCATATGCTATCACACAACGGTGACAAACCTCACAAGTGTGACCTGTGTGACAAGAGCTTTGGATTAGCCTATCTGCTGCGTGATCACATGAACACACACACAGGCGAGAGGCCTCATCGCTGTGATGAGTGTAACAAAACTTTTTCTTGGTTCAGCAGCCTGCTAGTGCACCAGAAGATCCACGCTCGCAAGCGCCAGGGTTTCAGCCAGTTTAATTCTTTCCCAATAGGTGCTAGGATGAGAGGCAGGGGTAGCAGGGGGAGGAGAGGGGCGAGACCCGTATGGAGCTTAGCTAGACCATTAGGAACCTCTGGGATGGTTAGCGCTCAGCCGTCTCCATATCCACTTTCTGTACTGAGAGATGCTGAGCACAGAAGGGTGGCCCAGCCACAGCCCTCGCTGCTCTCACCTCGCATGGATTTACAGGGTAGACAGCAGAAGGAGCCGTGGCTGTCCGAGCGACACCCTCAGCCGGTGCAGTGGAAGGTGGACGGTGGCGAGGTGATGCCTGTCCCATCGTCGCAGCAGCAACACGCGGCTCCACAGCAGACGCAGTTTGACAGCGTGCCGCAGCTGGGCCTGCAGCAGCACCATCAGAGAAGTCCAGGCTGGGCAGATAGCCCTTTGATAACTCAGTCAGGCCCCGCATCTGCTCAGAGTTCAGAGTCATCACACATGAAAGAGAGCGCAGCTGCCATCGTCAGCTCAGTCACGGCAGCTGTGCCAAAAAAATCCAGCCCATTGTTAGTGAGTGAGATGGAGCAGCACAGGCAGCCCAAGCCTGTTGCTTGGAGTAACGCACCCACATCGACTGTGCTAGCTTCCACAAGCTCGTTGCATCATGATTTTTCTACTTCCTCGTCTTACCCAGATGGGGCAGCTCTGTGGAGCGTCAGACCCGCTCTGCTAACAAATTCACAGAGCTCTCCAAATAAGCTCGGTCAAGAGCTTCAGCTGCCAAGATGGGCGAGTGCCCCAGTGTCAATGCAAAAGGAGCGATCCACACCTCCTAAAAAAGAGGACACTAGAGTGTGGGATATGAGTAATCCTCAAGTAATACCGTCGACTGTTAGCCAGCCAGAGAAGTCATGGAACGGCTGCGAGCTGCAAAACCAGTGGGTCTCAGGCTTAGCAGGTGCATCCACCTCAGCTCAAATAGACCAAAGCAGTGCTATGCCAATTTCAACTCCAGTTTCTCACGGGGTAGGTAGCACCTTGTGGGACATACAAACACCACCAGGAATTCCAAAGACTATAAACTCCTCTGAGAATTTAGTAAATACTCAAGATTTTCAGCTGCAGCAAAAGCAGGTGTCATCTGGCTGGGCCAGCGTACAGAGTCAGACAACAACACAGAAGGTTCCCATCTCCATTCAATACGAGCCTCATCGTTTTGGCCAGGGGTTGGGATCACCAGTGTGGGGCTTCCAAAGTAATCAAACACTGCTCACTGGGCAGCTCAAACCAGGGAGTGGGCAGGAGCTGCAGCAACAGCCAATGGTAACAGGCACTCAAATAATCATAAACCAGCCTTCTCCATTTTTCTCACCTCCACTCGCCCCCCTCCCTCCTCTTGCTCTGCCTGGCCCACACCCTCTTCACTCTGTCGCAGTTGGCCCACTTCCAAGACCTCCACCCCCAAATATTTTTTTCACTCCACAGGCAGTTATGAGCGAGAGGCCACACATGACACAGACCCTGCCCCTACCTCAGCTCGCCCCGCGGACAGAACCTCACAAACTCGGACCCCGTTTGCCTTTTGCCCCAGAACGGCTTCTCCAGTGCATGATATGCGGGTGTTCTCTTCCCCGGGAGCTGGATCTACAAATGCATTACTTGCAACATGCACAAGGAGAGATTTGACATTTCTACACTAGCGACTAGACTTAGTTATGTTTTTTATAATTTTTACCTAGTGGAACCTCATTTATTTGACCCTCACTTGGGCAGTTTGACCAGTTGAGTGGATGGGCATTAGACACAAAAAAAAAGATGAAAAATAAAACTTGATTTTAGTCTGCACACTTGATGCACATTTAAACTTTGTAAGCTCCTAATTAGACCACGTTCTTTGTAATAGAGGGTGTACTCACGTGCCATTTCAATTAGTTTCATCGTCTTTTTAAATGCATTTAAGTTATCCAAATACTTAACTGGTTGTAACAACGTTTGAGGGGTGCAGATTAATGTGGTTCTACGGCCTACATTTCATTTATTGCCAATGACATATAGATTTAGATAATATTAGTACTTTTTTTAGTACCATTTGAACTGTGTTTCTTCATGTACAGTATACTGTGTGCCTTTTATGAGTACAGTCTGCATGTCTGCTGTCTTGGTATTCTAGGCCTAGTTTGTGCTTAAGGTAGACTCAACAATGTGACCTCACTCCCAAAACACAGAGCAAGTCTTTCTGAGATACCGTAAAGAAATGTTAAGATTTTGTTTTTGAGGAGGAGAGGATGGGGTTGTTGTGCTCATAGAAAACATGTGTCAGAATATAAAATGGACAGCTGACTACATACGTGATGACCCTGTTGGGATTAGTTATAATCACAGGGCTATTGGCTGCGTCCAAATATCTCACCGGTAAAGTTCTCATCTTGGTAATTTGGTCAGAGTATCTGTAAACAGATTGTGACGGTTACATGTAAAGGTCATTTCACAGTGAGAGTTCTCTGTAAATTTAACTCTTGAGTGATCATTGGGAACAGGGAGAAAGTAGCGTCATAACACAATAATCGACGACACTGTTGTCAAATAGTGAATTTTGTAATAAATTAAACTTGGATTTGTGTGATGTTTTGTCATTAATATTTATAACAATGGCAAGACAAACATGAAACTGACTATATAAAATGTATGTATTCCTCCAAACAGCCCAGTCAGATTTACCAAATTTGCGGCAACGTGTCAATACTGATACACTGTATAATTAGACTTTAAACCTATTCTGGGTGGCAACACTTAGCACCTTCTGTAAGCGAACAATACTACGTAAAGTGTATCTCTTACCAAAATGACTATTTCAGATTGGAATGTAGCCATGTTTATAAAATTAGGTCCACTTTTGAGTACAATGCAATGTATCTTTTGTGAATACTGAATGATTTCATTCCATACCGTAGATTTAGCTGAGTACAGAATCCCATCTCCTCTGTTATGATAATGGGCATTTGAGTAGCTTTGGTGGCCCAGTAAGTGACTGAAAACCTTCATTACTACTGTAAAATAAACACACGGTCCATTTGTACAAAAAAAAAAGGAAGGAAAAAAAAAAGAACCGTCCCTGTGCGTCTTAACATTTAGCGTCTTAAGTTTCAAAAACGTGCCCTTCTACCTCTATCCACTGTTTTAGCATGGAAAGAACTAGAATTTTCCCATGATGTCTACATATTGGATTAAATAAAACCTTGCCTTTGATTACAATGTTGTGGTGCGCAGTACTTGTTAGGTAAACCTGCTTCAAGGGTTAATCCTCAACATTTAAACATCTGTAATGCAAAAACAAAAGGTTTAATTTCTGGTTTGGAGAGTTTCTGTTATTTGGAGAGTGTTTCCCCCTCCACATTTTTGTAAGAGAATTGTCGTAAAACAGAATTGACACAGAGGGTATCATCATGTATTAAAAGGCTTTGGGGTCGTTTTGAATTTGTGAAAAATTAAAAGTGCAGAAAGTATGCACTGAGGTTGCAGAAGTCAAATAGAAATTTTTTCTTTGTAATTTAAGAGAAGAGCACAAGTGTTCTGTTAGGAGATATATTTATTAATCTGGTAAAGTGGGACTGTAATGGCCCTTACAAAATCTTATAACACCCAATATAATATGCTATTATTTCAGTGTATTTCACTCATTAGGGACAAAAGAATGGCCTGAAAATAAGTGGAATAAAGTTCATTGTTAACCTAATCAGAATAATGTTTATTGCCAAGTAGGTTTTCACTTTAAAGGAATTTGCCTTGGTGTTTGGTGCATACAAGAAACATATTAAGAGAGGGAAAAAAAGTCAAAGCACTGCAGAAGTCAAGACCGTAAATATAGAATTGATAAAAATCAACAGAAACATTAAAAAGAAGCAAACAAAAAATAGTATTACAAATATGTATAATGTAACCAATGTTGGGAATGTTACTTTCGAAATGTACTAGGTCACAGATTACTAGTTACCCTGTTAAAAATGTAGCTGTTTTGTAGCTGTAACTATTTAAATCACTTCATTCAAAGTAATATAACTAATTTCATTTGATTACTTTTCTAACAAATGTTTTGAATTGGGCAAGAAAGCTGAAAAAAAAAATGCTGGAAATAGGCTGTGTCAAAAGAAGGCATTCCTGTCAAGTCAAGAAAACTATCATTTTATTTTTTTAAAAAATATAATACAAAATGAAGTAATATAATGTCGCACATTAAAGCATCTTACAGGAAAGAATAAATTTGGATATAATCACCAACATTTTCATTATTAAATGTAGTTTATTAAGTATTTTTGTCATTAAGGATTGTATTTCTTTTTTAATTTAATAACATGTAATAAGTTACTTTCAACACTGAGTATGAAATAAATAATAATTATGACGTGCAGTGTACAGGAATAATAATAATCTAAGAAGACTCCAGTCGTTTTTTTCCCTCACAGTAAACCCCCACTGACAATTATTAAGTATAATAATATTAAGTCTTAATATATATATATATATATATATGTATATGTATTAAGACTTTAATCAGTGGATTCACTGGAGGTCCGTCGCTGACAGACAACAAAACAGAAGAAGAAGAATCCACTTCCGCCTCAGGATGCACCGCCACAGCCACACACAGCTAGCTGTGCTGCTCATCACGTTCACATCACCACAGGCTGTATCATCACCTGCTAAAAATATAACAAGATGCAGCCTCTTAATGTGGTGACAGACTAGATTAGCATACACTTTTTTTTTACTTTCTCACCTTGGTTCTTTGTTGAGTGACCGCTGATAAGAAAAAACAAATTAAAAAACAACTGTGGCGCTGTAAAGCTAACGAGCATTAGCTAGAGGAAGCTAGCAAACAGACACGCCAAGATGGACGAAGCTGCTGCTGCCGCTGCGATCAATGAGGACGGAGCTGCTAACAACCCCCGCAATGGAGACACAGTGTCTGAAAACAACGTCGGTTCGTCGGCTGAGGACACCGCCCAGGACACCGCTGATGGTAAGTATCCAAAAGTGGTCACTTGGCTAAATGCTCACGTTGTTAGCATTGTCAGTGCACCATCAGTGTGTTCAGGCGTGGTGACCTCCTACACCAACTTCACCACCGCAGAGACATGACAATATAACACTGCAGCTTTGTGGCTTGTCGCTGAACGCTTACAATTAGCATGGAGGCGCATTAATTTTCACTATTTTATATCCACCCCTGGTCTTTTTGCTATTTCATGTTCATTTGGATGATCAACAAGAGTCCTAAGCCAAGCTGCTACTCAACCACAGTATGGTAATGCATTGTAAAGTGTTAGTGTAAGCATGATATAAGACATGCACAACAAGCAGTAACCTGTAGTAATGATAATATGAATATGAATAATAATAAAAATCAGATAACCAGACCTCAGAGCACAAATATCAAACAGTGCTGAGCCCATACATGGACAGATGGAGGTGCAAGTGCAAAATAAAAGTCCAGTTTCATTTATAAATAGGTAAAACATGAAAGAGAAATAAGCTCACATAAGCAGGTACAATTTAAGTAAAAGAAATAACCATGTATATCAACAAATAAGATGCAAATATAAGAGATTATCTTATGTAAAGCAGATAGATTGCCAATAAAAGAACAAACAAAAGTGGAGAAAATATGGAGGTGCATGTAAAGTAGTGACATGGTGATACTAAAACAAGCACACTATAAAAATGGAGCGACAATAAAGTAAAAATAAAACCCTATAAAATTGTTTTATTAAGCGTAGGTTTTCTTGTATAAGTGAGTATAAGGCACTTGAAAGCTGCAGTGGAGTCTGCTGATCTCACACTGAGGGGAAGGCTGTTCGAGAGATGAGAGGCCGTCACAAAAAACGCCTGGTCACCCTTGATTCTCAATCTAGTCAGTGACACAGCTAAAATGTTTTGATCAGCTGATCTGAACTCATGTAGTGATGTAAAAAAGGGTTAGGAGGTTGTCACTGTAGTACTATTGAACAAAATTTATCATGTGGCCAGGCCACACAGAAATGAAAAGCTAACCTCCCAGTTATTGGTACTTTACGAGCCATAAAACATTGAGCAAATTCAATTTGTGATGTGATTCGTTCAAGCACAGTGTTGTTTTCTATTACAGAGCTAAAATTAATGCACGTACAGAAGCACTGCATTGTTGGGCTTTATTATACATTTACATACAATTAATAATATTTGTATAGGATGGAGTTCAGTGGTAGAGGGCATGGTTTGTATGTGGCTGTGAGTTCGATCTAAGGCATTTCCACTTTTGATTTACACATCTTATGCTTTTCTGTGGTATATGTTTTATCAGTGTTAACCATCTTGAAAAAACGCACAAGCTTTACCTTGAATTTTTAATTGAGACTGGTTGGTTTGGTGATAGGGGTTTTGGGGCTGTTCCTGGTTATGCAAAAATGATTTTACTATTTAACAAAAGGTCTGTCTCTGAAGGGTTGCTTTCCATAAATTGTCAGACACTTAAAAAATAATCTGAGCATGCCTGGGGAAAAAAAACCAAAACAGTACTTTAGTGGATGTATACTGATGGTGCGAACGTGCCCTGAATGGTTACCCTGCTTTGCTGCTGGCTGCAGCGGTCTGGCTTAATACTGGACCAGTATCAAAAATTATTGTTCCCATTAGTCATGAAGACACAAAAACATGTGGAAATAGGGTGCAATTACTAAACTTAGCCTCTAACTTTATGTGCCAAAAACATGACTGTCAAGTGCCAGTTAAAGGCGCTTGCTGCTGTCATCTCAGGCTAGATTTTAGCTTTTCAGATGTGCAGTTCATCACTAGGTACTTCTGCCAATAAAAACAGCTCCACTGAGAATAAATCTGGTATTTTAAGCCAGATGTTTCACCTATCAGACTTTACAGTTCAGTGCAACTCCAGCTTTGATCAACGGAGGTGCTTTTAATTCTCTGATCTCTGATTCAGTTGTCAGGATTTAGTCAGTTCAGATATAACCATTCATTTATTCAAGATATTCTGTCGTGTTATTAATAGGGCCAGTGTTTGCTGTTAGATTTGATTGTGAAAGTAGCATCAGGCTTGCCATGAAGAAAATCAGTGTTTTCCTTTCACAACCCTCTGTTGCAGCACCACAGTCTATTGCAATGTGGTAACGTTTGCCTGTTTAAAAATGCAACACGTTCTGCAGCAGTCATATCAAATAACTCCGTGATTTAACGTCACAAAGGTCATTTGGTGAAAGCACTGTATGTTTTAACCCCTCTGTAATAAAAACTGAGTATTTTTATGGGTAATGTTACATTTCCAGAACCAAATTTTGATAATCTAACTTGGAAAGCCTTGTCTTTGTGATTATACTGTAAATTCCAATCAGCTTTAAAATAAAGATATGTTTGCACCTGTGTTTTTGTGATTTGTGTCTTTTTTTTTTCATCTTTCTTTCTTTCTCTGGAAACAGGAGTGGCTTTGACCTCCTATTTTCCCCTTTCTATTTCTAGGGGTTTTCTGCTGTCGGGATTGCGGGGAAGCCTTCAGAGAGGAGGCAGCCTACTTGGAGCATCGCCATCAGCACTCGCAAGAAAACGTGTATTTAGACGACCAGTTGGATGATTTACATGATGCAGAAAAGGACAATGAAACAGCTAATTTCTGTACTTTATGTTCACTCTCATTTGTTGAACCGAGTGAATTCCACTTGCATATGGAGAACAGCCATGGTCGAACCTCTCAAAAGGAGCCTGGTATTCAAATAAATTCTGGGATAACAAAGCACCACACCTATGAATGTCCAGACTGTGGGAAATGTTATGGTGTGATCGGACACTTTCTCAACCATCAACGGTCACACAGACAAGCCTCGAAATCTGTTTTTCATGACCTTGAACATTTGAAAAAGAAGTCGTTTCAGTGTGAGTCTTGTGGGCGGAATTATTCTCGCGCTTCAGCTCTGGATGCGCACCGTCGCTGTCATGAGGAGAAGTTAGTAAAGTCACGAAACAGGAGTTCGGGAGATGCATGTCCCACTGAGGAGTCAATAGTTGAAGCCAAGCCTGTTGAAAACCAGGCGAATGACACTCCTGAAAAAACTTTTAAGTGTTCATGTGGGAAAGCTTTTACTGCTCTGATGCGCCTTAAAACACATCAAAGATTTAGCCGCAACAGTCAGTGCTCTCCAGAGGAAAAGCAAGAAAAACCAAAGAAAGGCCTCAACGAGTTTTACTGTAGTGAGTGTAAGAAGGCTTTCAGC